CAGATCTGAAAATAGTGCAGAATTTAGCTAAAATTTCCGAGCACTACTGTGTGTTTATCTATCACATAAAATCCAATTGAAGTTTAAGCTTTTGAAATGACAGGGCAGGGTTCAGGTGCCCTACTCTACACGCCACTGAACGTCACATTTGATTAAAAAAGACAAACATGTTCATAAAGGACATCCCAAAGAATCCTGAAGTTTGCTGAGGTCTCCCTAAAATCTGCTCAAATGTTTCCAACACGCCGTGACGCGATGCATCTGCAGCTGAGAGAGCACAAAGATTCAGAATAAGAAGTGGATAAGAGTGTCAGGCACATTAAAGAGGAATCAAATTTTCACAATGAGTCTAAAACCGACAGAGGGAGATGAATTGGATGTGCTGCAGACTTCCAATAACCTTGTTACACATTTCCAGGGTAGAGGAAATATTAATAACCCTGTTTGAGTGGAACAAATATATTACAGCGGCAGTGCGGGCCCCTCCCTCTCAGACCCAGATAATGACATTTCAGTGAGAGCAAATGAAATGGGCCAATTTTCGAACTCATTACAAAGTCGGCTCAGAAAACAGGAAAGTGAGTAAAGAATGGGAGCTGATAGACGGTGACTGAGACGTTTGTGGGCCTGGATGAGGTGTGTGTTCTGTGTGCTTTGAGGATACCTCTTTTTGATGTGTGTGTGAGCTTCAACTGAGCCCAAAGCCGAACTGACAGACAGCTTCCCTCTGTGGGGCCCCTCGGTGTTTCTGATTGATCGTCATAATGCCGAGGTACAGGCCCCGTCCTTGGTGCCTATGCTAATCGCAGCCTCATGCATATTTATGAGCTCCTTGGGAATCAAGCAGCTAAATAAAGGATGAGGCTGTTGGCTTGGCGCTGCGGTGATCACCGTCTGATTGATTAGAAAAGCAAAAAAAATCACTCTGGAAAGACCAAAGGTTTTATTTTTATGTTAGGGAACATAATGGGAGAGCATGATGGTCGGATGCTAAGTAAACCTGGTCCCTTCTGATGAAGTCCTGTTGGTTTGAAACGTTCCTTTTTGCAGTTTCTTCCCTTAATTTTGTTCGGCTGTGTCCCCCTGATTGAACCCAGTGAGTGATGAAATATTCCTTAACCTGGTTTATTTTTCATGACCGAACTTTTCATTTTTTTCTGTTGGACAGTCCTGCTGATCCAGAAGCGAGTTACTGAATATAAAACATGAAATTGTGAAGACAGACTTTCTTCAACGGGAGCTCAGCCTCCAGGTAGGTTCTTGTATTTTTAATCACAATAACTCCGTTTCTTAAAAGCAAATGCACTTTATCACTACAATTTGTCATGTCATTTTGATTTTGACTGATTTAAATAATTTGGTTAATTATAGTTCTCACTTTCGAAAAATGGAATTGTGTAAAAGGATGCATATTTTTTAAGTTATTAAAAGCAGGTAATATAACTCAGTTTTATGAGAAACTGGCAACAATGCGTAATACCTCAGGATTGAGTCTGATAATTTAGTGTTATTATGATTGCCACTCGTTAACATGTTATCTCCTAGTTTCACCTCAAGGAAGAGCCATGGCAAGATCCCATAATCATAAAGTGCCACAATATTTCTCTTAAGTAAAGTCTGCTCCCAAAACTGTGCAGATGGATTTGTCTGGTAAAGTGTGTGTGAGCTATTATAGGTCTTAGACATGAAGGTGTGTGCTTGACACTAATATTGAATTAAAGCAACACTTTGTTCATATTAAGTCTTTGGTTAGTGTGGTAAGAATATAATATTTGTTTGGTCATCACAAGTGTGCAAACATCTGAATCCATTATTGACCTTTTATTAATACAGATTCATTGAATAATTTAGGTTAAAATTAGTTTTATTTAGTTTCAGTTCAAACCAAATGGTAACTTTACAAGTTGGGTTCATCTGTTCTCACATATACAGTATCAAATTCAACCAGGCCACATTTGCCTAAATACAGTCTGATCTTATATTTCCAGTCTCCTGTTGTCAGTGAGCTGACAGGATTTGCCTCATCACCTGATGGTAATGATTCATAAGTAAAGGCTCCCACATATTTGGCCGTACTCTGCATAATCTGTGGGTGATATAGACTCTGAACCGTGAACTGTTCATGGACGGTTTGTCTTTCACACTGAAGTGAACCATTTGGCAACATTTCTTCCTTCATTTTCCACAAGCCTAATAGATGCTGGTAAATTTAGTGAGCTGATTGGACACCTAGCTCCATTTGTTCTCCACCGGCGCAGCCACCGACTGCCTGTCTGACTGGCAGTTCAGCGAGGTTTAGTTGATGCATTCACACAGTCTCCAACCTTACCATGCCTGGTCATGCAATTTCTGTAACTTGGTCGCAGACACCTTTCAGTCAAATTGGACAATTTGGAAGATGCTCTTAGAGAGCAGGTTCACCTGTACCAGCGCTTCCCTCTGTCAGGACTCCTTTTTGGAGAAAAGAGCAACGACATTCAGTACATCAAGTATAAAAGCCACAGCATTTGGTCAACACAAACTTTCAAAAGCGTGTTTGTAGCTCAGCCTTCACATTCTGCATCCTTGCAGCTGTTTGTGCCAAATCTCAACCTTTTCAGCTCTGTGTTGAATAGAAAACAGTTTGGTGTGAAAACTTTCCCAGTAAGCAAGAGTACCAAAACGAAAATACACTTTTGTGCGCTATGGGTCTGCATCGAGTACACGCAAACCTCCACAGCGTGAAGTACGTCCAAATACCCTCTGGTCCGACAGCCGGAGGTTCAGGAGAATGCCAGGTGCTTTACAGTAAAAACTGTTTAATTTTGCATGAAGCTATTTCACTCTTTCCTGGTGATCACTGGGACAAATTTTGTTTTAATGGATTCCTTGGAAGGTCTTGTGGTGAAGTTGGTAGCTAGTTCCTGGTTTGGAGTCCCAGCCTGAGGACTTTCTGCTTGGAGTTTTCATGCATGTGAGTTTTCTCCAGTTACTCTGGAAAAACCACGTTCCTATATGAATATTAGATCTGTTATGAAACTGTAAAAAGGAACAGCAGCAAGATTCCATTCAGTGTTTTGGTCCCTTTATTTACTGTTAACCACATTTCAAACAACTAAACAACCAATGAAAATGGCATCACCAGATCTAAACAGCACTTTGCTTGACAAATAATCATCAGAGTAAGAATTTTACAAAAGAAATGTACAAATTCAGGACAAAACCTCACAATGAATGGGTCAGAAATAAAATATAGTACAAGTTAAGAGCCGTGAATCAAGCATATAAAGTAAAATAAAGCCTCTGTAAAAATGAAAAATGGATAAAGATTTCTGTCATTCATGCTGTCTTCAGTATAGAACTGTTAGTCTGTCTCAGTAGGTCCATAAGTCCAAATGGACTCAAGCTGGGGGGGGAGAGGGGAACGTAAACAAAGACTGTCGTATTATTTTATACGTTTTGCTGCTTTTTTTGATTATGGGCATTTTTGTTGTTCAGTTATGAGACATTTCTGAACAAAATAACCAACACAGGAGTGAATTATATACTTTCAGGTTCTAAAAGGCTTAAGGTAAAGTTAGGTTAGGAGGAAAATCCCTGTTTCATTGTTAATGTTTTAGATATCAGGAAACAAGAAAAACAAATGGTCTGCACATAATTCCAAAACAATTTAAATCTGACCTCAAGTTTATAAAAACGCCCTAAAACCTCCACAGGTATCAAAACAAATATGCCAAAATGAAGACGTTATAAGTAGATCCAATAATCTAATAATAATTTCAGTAATCACCCAGTGTGAAGGAAATTCTCAGCTACTCTTCCTTACAAAGTTGCTTCTGTTTGTGTTTGCAGACATTTGTTTCTGAAGGTTTTTCATGAAATCAAGCTGATCAAGCCTTTCACTGCTGTCATATGTCATAATCCAAGAGCACACATTTTCAGTCTGAAAGCAGGATTTCATGTCTTCTGTTCTCAAAACTTTTAATATTTTTGCTTACATTTATATTTTGAAAGCAGGACTTCATGTCTTTTGTTTCAAAACTTGTAACGCTTGTACTCAAAACTTCTCCTCACGCTCACAATTAGTCTCTGCTCAGACTCTGCTGACTTAAGAAACATGGAACTGCCTTTTGGCACAGTCGCCTGGCAACCTCTCAGCCAATAGAATGAAAGTGAATTTGTAACGGTCGATAACCCAAACTTTATTCAACTGAAGATTGGCAAGTAAATTAGCTTTAGAATTTATCCAATGTAAGTGCACTAAATGTTTTCATAGTTGGCTAAAATGGTCGAGGAATATTAGCTCTGCTATTAGCGCATTAGCTAATAGTGCGTGACACTGCGTTCCCCATTTAGCAGATGGGTGACGACTGCATTTGAATCATCGTAGAACCTGGTAAAGACGACCATTTTTATTGTGTCCTGGTGTGTAAAGTCTGATAACGCCAACAGGGTGCATTTCCTCTATCCTCTGACTAAATGGGAGGGAACAGATACCTACGGTCTCTACCACCTGGAAAATTCTCATTAGATCCACATTTCACCTCATGTAGGTTCTCTGTTTATAGGCTGAAACAATTTTCTACCCAAAAATCTGAGATTTTTTTAAACCTGCTCTCCTTTTTGCAGAGTAAAAATGCATGTGAACCATATCTGTCATTTTGATGATTAGAAAGTGGAGGGTTGAAACTGAAACTTCACCTCTAAACCTTAGAGCATGGCTTCATAATTGGATGGAAATCAAGGACACTTAACAGAGTAAATTTCTTTCTGATCGGACTTGGTGAGCACATATCTTAAATGGATCAAATCCATCTTTCATTGCAAAAATAGTGCGAAAAAGGTTTCCTCTCTCCATATTTACACCTTTCCACAGGCTGGTGCTGCTCAGCTGAGCTCAAAGTGTCACACATGCAAATGCATCACCGATAGTTTGATGGACGCAGGTTTCTTTCCAAAACAGATACTTTTTTTTAACGTAACAATCAAGCACCCGGATCCTGTTCCAGCAGCTGAAAAAGCAAAATATAAAAAAATCTTATTTTCACACATGTACAGGCTGTAGAAAGAAAACGCACCAAATTATAAATGAATGAAAATGACAAACAGCTTCTCAGAGCTGCAGCGAAATAATTTTGTTCTGGTGTTTGTTTGTTTGACTGTGGTTGCCTTATCTTATTTACAGAAAGAGAGGATGCACACTGGAAGACTCACTTCATCATTGTACAGATCCAGAAAGAGGAAAAATTCAGAGTTGCTTTGGCCTTCAAAGGTAGGACATGTTGATCCATGTTCTGTTTTCTGAACTGGTAAACCTAATTTTGTTGCATTAGTAACAGTTTGTTTCGGTCAAAGAGCAAATATGCTATAAAAAATTAGATTTATTTTAACCTGACTTTAACTCTGTAAAATCTTCCAGTGTGCTTCGAGCCTTCAGAGGGAGACGACATTCAAGGCGTAGAATATATCTAAAAAGGAAATACTGTACATTAGTCACATCACAGCCTGGCAGAGAGGAAAGAGAAAGAAAAAAAAATTGGCTTTTTTTTTTTAAACATCTCAATTGAACATAATTTCTCTTTATACAAGCATGTAAAGTCCATTGTCTTGCTGAAGCAAATGCACACACAAAACAATGAGTGTGTTTGTTGGCGGCTTCCCCCCCATCCTCTGTACAGGTCACAGGCACACCAAAAGGATGCGCACACACACTCTCCCAGGTTGAGTTCAGCTCAGCAGGTTTTCACTCAGTGTAGCTCTGAGAAAGACGGGAGGCGTCGGATCAGAAGGAGTTCAGAGCCTCTAAAGCCACTTCATAGCAGAACTTGTACTGTTCCTGAGGAGGAGACCAAGCAGAGGGGCTCAGTCATCACGTTTATTTAATCTGAACGGTTCAGAAATTCAACTTGAACTACAAAAGTTAAAAACGTGACAGTCGGTGGCCGATTAAAACAGTTATTACCATCAATTTTAATTTATTTTTTTTTGTCCTTTGGGACGCATCTGTCATTTAAAATTAGATAAGAAAACTTCTTGGCTGCAAAAGAAAAACTATAATCTAAACATGCCAGACGTATGGATAATCTTGACTAAAGTGAAAAGTAGTGAAATATGTCTGTTACATTTCTGGAGTAAAAACTTGGCCTTTGAGGCATAAGTAAGGAGATAAACCATAAAATGACAATTACTACTCATAAAAGGGCATAAATGGCCAATCAGATGCTCTTATTCATGAACTTATGACCTTTTGAAAAGTTTCTTTTTTACATTAAAAAAAGCTTATTTACTAAAGCTCATTACCTTGGATGTGAACATCCTGACTTCACAGCTCTGCTCTGATTTTTCATGAAAGCTCATTTTCCTGCGGTGACCTATAACTCTGCATTTTGTTCATATTTTACCTTGAAGCTGCTTTATTGGTGAGTTTTGCTCGACCTCTTTCTGCTCTAACTAAAAGCATTTGGTGAGAATGAAGAAATGAATTTGACTAATTGAATCTGTAATGTCCCTTTGGTGATAACTCAAGGTTTGGACTGTACATAATAATTTAAACCTAATGTTTTTCATCTGTCTCAATTTGCAAATTAGCTTTAAATGTAACACCATCTCTTGTAAAATCTAACTTATTTAAAGTTTGTTGGTATTCTGTCCAGAAGCTCCCTAATTCTCACCATCGTCTCCACCATGTTTGTCTTGTTGTTCCTCAGCGTCTTGACTGTGTGGAAAACGTCCACAATGTTCTGCTGCTGGATCATCTCATTGATGCTGCAGATGGCACAAAACGTCCCAGAGCGTCCTCCTCCAGTGCTGCAGAGCAGAACAACGAGACCGAAGAGCTTTATCAGCAACACTTACAAACCTGGAAGTATTCTGAAAACCATCAAATGTCACAAATAGAACAAGTTGTTCAAAACATGAAACACTGAAATGAAAAATAGATCTGAATTTTTTTAGACTGAACAAAAACATAAATGTCAAATATTATTCCCATGTGGAGTTGGCAACTGAATGAGAATTTGCTGTACAAAAGTAATATTTCTCTTGATTTGTGTGTGATTTTCAATCCAACCTGCTTTCAGTAAGTATTATTCGGTGAGTTGTTTTTTTACTTGGAACATGTCCAGATAATCCCTGGACTGGAGACGATAAAAGGCCCCAAAATGTCACATTTTGTCACAAGTCATGAAGCCTCAGATGTCGCAGGTTATGGATGCAGCAGATCCACCAGAGCAGAGCTGTAGGTGCTGCTGCAACATGTTTGCCATTGGGATGCTATTCTACACTTGAATAGCTTCGCTAACCAGCTAGCTCCTTTTAGCCTAGCTTTAACAAAACACTTGTCTTTCCCATCATCAGATCGGTTTTTGAAGCAGAAATTGGTCCCTAGTGGGCCGAGAGAACAGGCTCTGTCATCCGCTGCTGTTTGCGGATGCTGCTTGTCAGATTTATGGATGTAACAGAAACTCAAAAAGGTTCCAGCTTTTTGTAAAAAATAAAAATGGTTTAATGTGTTAAAATCTATTAGTGGTGCAGAGATTAACTAAGTCTCTGCACCACTAAGTCATTTAGGTTGAAGCCAAATGCCACCTGGGAAATGATTAGCTGAAGCTACTTTCTGTGTAAAATATTAATGCCAGGAGGGATTCAGCTCCTGGATCCTTAGCTTAGATGGTGTCAAACTAACAGAAGCTTTAAATAATATTTTTTCTGTGAGGTATGTGTAATTTTCCAGTTTTGTTTCAGAAAGCGATGCAACACCTCAGGTCCTCTCTGCTTTGAGACCAGGTTTAGAATGCAAAGGTTTTCCTTTAGCAATTCTTTATCTACTTCTGATGTTTTTTTTCTGCTTTGGGATAAAAATTAACATGAAGATGCAGGAGAAATATTTTAAATCCATTTTGCAATAGTGCTTTAGGTTACATCTTAGGGCTAAAAGACATTAATGTGATGAACCTAATTACTGAAGAAGAAGAAGCAGGAAAGCTGATTTGATTTAAAACGGGTCAGGACTCGAGTGGCCAGTAGGGTCAAGACAACTGAATAACTTTTATACTATAATCGGATATGTATGAGAAAAGTCCAGCAGTTTGTACTGTGAATATCTAAAAGTTGCTGCACTAGAAATCTAATTAAAGCCACAGAGAATTTCATTTGCAAACTGTTTTTTAGATCTGAATTAGTATTATTCTGGTAATTAGGTCCCAGAAATCAAAAGTTATGAATATTTCTGTTTCCTGGCTGTTGTTCCAGGTTGTACTTGGATCCACACTGATGTCTGTGGATTACTCTGATGCTGCTCAGTAAAATTAGCAAAGGTAATGACCAGACTCCATCTGACTGCTGCTGGGAAAATGAACTGATAGAAATGAATAATAAAGTTCTAATTTAAACCTGGTTTTCTCTGAAAGGTTTTACAAAATATTAGTTTAAACGCTGGACAAAAAAATAACTCGAATCCCTCGGTGTGCACCGACCTGACATTTACCTTTATTCTATATTTAAAATTAAGTAGCGGGTATCAAACTTACAGTAATTTTTTAACATCTTTTTACTAATAAGTCTGATTGATACATATGCCTTCAAAGAACACAAGCTTCCTGATGTAATGGTCCATGTTGTAGGACTGAGTAGGAGTTAATCCACCAAAGCACTTCAGTGCAAAAGATTAATAAATTATTTTTATCATAGAAGACGGAAAAATGAAGCGACTGCTTGATATTTAATATGCAAACTGAACATCATCAGGCAGCAGAGTGGAACGTGTTCAATGTGACTCAACAGGCAGCAGTGGTACACATGGTGGTTGAAGTGAAATGGCATCTGCAGATGTTTACTTTAAAACCAGGATAAATAAATGAGAACATCATTTTTCTGTCGTTAGCAGTGAACTGACTGCTCCTCTTCTGGTGGCTTGTTTCTGTGAGCTGCTTGTGATGCGGCTTCGACTCTGACGGTTCTTATAAATCCACATATTTTATGATCATGTCTTCAAGAAGGTCTTAACTTACGCTAGTTTCAAACATAACTCTGCTTTGCCTAACTTGCTTTGATGACTGAATAAACAGACTCTGGTTTATTTGCTTAAATTGAGACGTGACGCGCGGTGGGGGAGAGGGAATCAATTTTCACCTGCTGCTAATTGAATCATCATCTTTTATTATTATTACTGATGTTACAGAGGAGCAAAATCAATCGCTTTGTTTGATTAGTCAGTGTCTTCACAGAAGCAATTCATTTTCCTGTATAAAACTTAATGTATGTCTGGATTGAACTTTTATCTCCAGCCCAGTGACCTTAACTTCCATTTAATCAGGGCAATGAAAATGAATCATTTCTAGATCTATACCTAATTTTGTGGACATTATATTGAGTAATTTAACCTACAGGACCTGCCAGCAGTTTCTTGTTCCTCCACCAGTTTGAAATGGGAGACGTTGTGTATTCCTGCTGTTTTACCTCATTTGTTTTGCTCAGATGGATTTTTATGGAGCTCAGCAGAGTTTGTGAATTTGAGTGTGTGTAATCAGCCTGTAACCAACAGTGTTATAAATTTCAAAAGTGGACATTGAAGGATTGTTTTACTGCATGAGCTGTAACACAACAGAAGCTCCTCCGAACAGTAAAGATAAATGATCTGTGTAATTTGTTGCAGTGTTGGTGCAGAAGATTAGGACTTTTATTTTTTAAGCTGTGCATAAGGATGAAATTGCTATTAAATGAATCGGAACCAAGTTTGTAAACGGCATTTCTCAACTGATATTTAAAGGGAAAACCTAATAGTGTGGAGCTTTTGTTGGTAGATGAGACTTTATTGCCACAATGAGCTGAGAGAAAAATGAATTTAATACATCAGAAAGTCAAAGTTAGTGTTTCCACACAAAACAACTTGTCTGAGTCTGTTTGTTGCATCGCCTGGTTTGAGCCTCTCCGCTCTGCTGGGACAACCTGAAGGCTACCAGGACCACAGGATCGGCACCGTTTCATGTTCATGCTTTTTGTCGAATATATTTTTGGAAGCTTAACTAATCCAAATAGAAGTTTCCTCTTCTATTGGGTTCATATGTTGTTTTCTAAGGCTAAAGCTGCTTTTTGGGCCCAGGACAAGATGTCAGAATCCCAGCTGCAGGAAAGGTATTGACTACTGATGACTACTTCATAGAACCCCAATCCTAAATTATTCCTTTAAATCGTTGGACGGCTCCAGCTGTGGGTCAACAAACTGCATGTTTTAGACCGTTTCCTGTCGACTTGGGTCCTTCAACAGGGGAACGGTGAATTGGTCTGTCCACAGAAAAACGTTTTAAAACTGAAATTAAACTTTTTGAAAATGATTCACTTTGCTTCGTTCATACAGACTTTTCAATGTTACCAGGTGATTCTGAACGTCCAAGCACTGAACACGTGATCAGAACAGATAAAGTGTGGAGCTGCCATCATTTTCTCCAGCTGAACAGAAACAAACTAAAGTTATCGTCTTTGGGCCGAAACGGGAACGATCCAGAGTCAACGCACAGCTTCACAGCTGGAAGCTAAAGATCAGGCCCAAAAATGTATATTTGATTTATGACTTTGATGATGGCATTTGGCAAAATGTAAAATTTACTGCTTGTTTTATAGCGGTTATGTTTTTATGATGTAAAGCATTTTGATCTGCCCTGTTGCTGAAATGTTGCTATGTAAATAAATTAACAGTAAAGCATCATGACAGGGATTATCGTTTTCCTTAACAGGAAACTAAAAGCTTCTCACCATGTTTTAATTATTAAACTACACATGAATACATGTCTGAAACAAAGCTAAACCTGGATAATGATCTACTTTTGAGACGCATGTCAGGCTTTAGATTTCTCACAATCTAACAACAAATCATCTTTAGCTCTAACAAATATCTGTGTGGTGCAGATCATTAGTCCTCAATGCAGCCACCTGTTCAATTCAAACTTTGCCTGTTTGAATACTGTTCATAAAGTTGCTGAGTTAAGTCTCAGCAACGTTTTTTTTAGAAAATTGTATTAGTAATTGTGTAATAATGTTTTGTAATCCAGCTAAGTGCTGGTTCAGATGTATAAACTTTGTCTTTTGTCTTGTTTGGGTTAGAAAACGGTCCAGTTGAACCTGAATAACATTTAAAATGTTTTGTCTGCACTCACAGGCAGTGCACCACAGTCCTCCCGTCTCCTCCGTCGTACTGCTCCTGCCACTTGGCCAACCTCCTGACCAACTGGAGGATGGAGCGCTTGGAAAGAGGCGTGTCCCTGTAGGCGGGCCAGCCAATGAACTGAAAGTGCTGCACCAGGCGGTAACCGTCCTGTGGCTGTGAAGAAAGGAGGGAATGTAAAAGACTGTTAATGCAGCAGATGACAATATGCATGTGAGTTTAACAGAAACACACATCTTTGTTTTAGAAAGCAGCTGTGCACCTAAAATATCTACAACTGTAAAAGTTGAATAGGTAAAATATATATTACTAGAGGTCACAAAAGATGCTCGTTTTGACTTTTTTTTGATCAAATGTACTTTAAAGAAAATTGAATTTGATTAAACTTGTATTTGAATTAAATTGTCTGTTCAGCATCAGTGTCAGAGAGCCAGTGGTATAATTACCATTACCAAGCCCCTGTTAAGTCTGGTGGAGGAAGTATGATGCTGTGGGCTGTTTTCTCTTCCAAAAATCAGAGCAGTTTAACCTGATGCCTGGTGGTTTTTGTCAGTAAATTGAAAATGTGAGTACAAAGCAGGACGACTGAATACCATATAACTGATAATTTTATTAAAACAACTTCTTAATTCATTTCTGCTGAGTAAATCCACTCAACCTAATAAATAATTTCATCAGTGAAAGACAATCAAATGTATTTTATTTTATTCCTACACATCCAGATTGATCCAGACCTGCTGGTTTACTTCTCTCACCTTTTTGTCTGTCTTCTCTCTTTCCCACTAATTTGTATATTTTATATATTTTTCCTCTTTTCCCCTCTTTCACAGTTTCCCTCATTTGATGGCTTAGTGGTTGGTACTTCAGACTCTAGCAGAGTGAGATGTGCTGTTATGGCGATGATATGAGCCATTTCACACTACACTGGTGATGTGTTTGAGAGAGGAAGAGAGAGAGAGGAGGTGGGAGGAGAGTTCACTAAGCGCTATAGGAGCTCACAGACGAGAGGGCAGCACTGGAGTCGTACCGTCATGGATGAGATGAGAAGGGAGTAACAAAAGGAAGTGAGGCAGATGGGAAGCAGGGAAAGGTGAGGAAAAGTCTCATCCTAAAGAACGCTCTTTCAAAAGTCCATCAAGGAGAACAAAGGTCTGAACCAGCTCTACTCCAAACTAGGGCTGCAACTAACTATTCATTTAAAAATTGCAATATTAGAAACACACAGAAATATGCGAGTGAGAAATTTAATTCCTTTTTTTAAATGAGAAAATTAACATTTTCTTACCTAAAGTGCAATAATAAAGCTTTCCTTGCATGTATGTTTGATTATTTGTAGCAAAGAATGCATCTGCAGCTAAAAAATACTTTTAATAATGTGAAAAACTGAGGCATTTCTGCTGAACGTGTCAGTACAGTGAAGGGCTAATCTGGTGTTTTATTTATTTATTAAAACTGATTAATAATTGGATTGGAAAAGGTGCTTACTAGGAGATTTTTCTATTTACTGAAATGCTATATATATATATATATATACAAACATATTCAATTTCAATTGCTGCTCTGTTCTGTTCTTTCAGAAAATGGTCTTTTTGAGTCTGTATAATTCAGTTAACGATTATGCAGTTAATAAAAGAATCAACTAATTTACTAATTGATTAATCACGATTAATCGTTTCAGCAATACCTCAAATGCTGCATGATGTAAATAGTAACCAGGCCTCAGTTTCTTTTCAAATAAAATCATTTTGTTTTGTCCTTTGGCATCTACTGAGCATTAAACTGATCTGCCTAAACCTGAGTTGGCTTCCGGGTCAGAACATTTCACCGTATCATTGGCACATTTTGAACCAGATGTGACGATGTGAAGTGTGTCACTGCCGACCTGAGTTTCAGACATTCAGGCTGCGTTCAGTGAAACTGTTGTGGATTAACAAGGGAAACTCTGGATACCCGAGCCATGTTGCAGATCCTGAAGATCCGGTTGATGATGTCTTCATCGATGTCCGCTGATATGAACTCCACTTGGATCGGGCCGTAGCAGCACGAGTTCTTCTCCGGCCAGTACTGCATACATAACTATGACATCAGAAGAGACAGGCTCTAGGATTTCAATGCCTTTACATCATTATTTATTCAATCTGACATGTTCTGCCAGTAGATGGCAGCACTCCTAAAACATAGTGCATGTTGTACCTGTGCTGCATCCATCTCGTTGAGCATGACAATGGAGGAGCAGTTGTAGTCAAACACCAGCCTCCAGAAATCCCCCATGGTGTTTGGCAAAGGATGCTGGGTAACAATGAAGGCTGCTGGCTGTTTGTGGCTCTGGAAGGTTAATGTGGTCTACAGGTAAATGGTAACCAGAGCACTGAAGTTATGAAGAACATCAGAAGTGTGTTTAAACTTACGTCCATTAATGCAGCGTTGATGTAGTTGGAGCTCTCTCCATCAACAGATATGAGAAAAGGCAGACATCGGTCAGCAGACAGAACGTCCATACTGCGGTTCTTATCGTGGTTCCGCGGCAGTAAGCCCACGCTGCAGTCCTCTGGACGAACTCTAGGTGTCACTATATTCAGCGTCTATCAGATTCATAACAATAAATTAAATCGTTACGATTCAGCTAAAAAAAAAAACACATTCTTGAATTTAAGGGATAAAAACTTTTTTGCCTTTTTGTGAACAAAAACTTTTCCCTGGACTTACCTGGAACTCGTCTTTAATCTGGCTGGAGTTGGTCTGTGGATCCAGTCTGCTGATATTGTAGTAAACCGCTCTGAACTCGCACACTGGAATCGCTGTGTTCCCACATAGACACGCCTCCAAGATGGCGTCATGAACAAACACATACTGCTCCTGCAACACCAACAACAGAAAGTCTGGGTGTTTTCTGTCTCCTGACATGGTGAGCAAACAGCTGCTCAGCCTTGAACTTGTTCAGAGCAGCAACAAATGTCACTTGTTGAGTAAACGATGCATTTTTGGTCCAGCAGCATTTTCAAAAGTAAGCAAGCTAGGAACTCAGTTTCTGTTTGTTTATGCATATAAATACAGAATTGGCATTCTACTGCTGTTACGGCAGACTAAGACAGAGCTGATGGAGCAGGGAGTGTTGCAGTGCATTGGTCCTTTATGGTGAAGTTTAGTCTTTCTTGTCTGAACCCCTAAACCCTCAGGTGAGAGCTGCAGCAGACAAAGTGCATACTAATTTACAGCTGGCTGCTTTATCTTGTGTCAGTTCAGGTTTTTTGTCCGTGTCCCACACGTGTTTGTCTGCAGCTTCTCGCATTTTCAATTTGCCTCCAATGTTATCGCTCAGCTTCCGTCTCTGCTGAATTTTGATTTGTTGCCCTTCGAGTGGAGAGGCGAGTTTAAAAGCATTATCAAAGTGACCTCTGTTGGTCATTACCTACTTTAGTGGCATTCAAATACACATCCACATGCAGAAAGGCACGCGCAAACAGATGAGTGATACACACACTTTTCCCTGTGCCTTTTAAAAGATTAATTGCTTTGTGTTGTGCGGAGCAGGATTATAATAGAGGCGAACTGCTTGTACGCTGACACAAATTGCTCCCACACATTTAAACAGGCAGGGCAGGATGCATTTAGCTTGGTTTCAAGAGGCACACACACAAAAAGCTAGCAGTAACAGCACCGTTGTCAACATAACAGAGAAAACCCTCCATGTGATGCTCTGGGTGGGTTTCATGAACCAAACACTTCTAATGCATTCAAAAGTCATTTAGTCTTGAAGCTTAAAGCAGTCAGGCTGTTCTCCTCCTAATGGTGGAAAAGTTCATTTTTTTGGAAGCGCACTAGTTTCATTAAAGGCACAAATGGAAATCCGGGGCGGGATGGATTAGATGGGCTTAGAGCAGCTTAGAAAGGACATGAATACCTCTGTTCCAAAACGACAAGGCCAACAGTTACAACCCGTCTCGTTAATAATGACTGATCAGGCTCATTTAGAGCTGCTGAATAAACACTGGAGAACAATGATTCTAACTGGATCACAAAAACAACTCTTGAGGGAATCTGGTGGTTTAAGGACATTAAACCAACAGCATCAGGTTCTCACTCCTTGAAGTTACCTTTGGGTAACAACTTTGGTACTGTGCATATTTTCCTCCTACCTCTGTCTGGACCATGTTGACCCGTTGGGATCTCAGTTCACGGATGCAGTTGAAAATGTCCACCACTCCTTCGTTCTCTGCCATGTCCAGCATGATGTCCACAGCGATGAAGCAACCTGTCCTCCCTGCACCAGCGCTGCAGAAACACATGGAAAAGATTCAACTCGCTTGTGAGCAAAACGTCTAGTTTTATGAAAGCTTAAAAAAATTATTTATTCAAAACCGACGAGCCAATAAACAAGAAATCTGATCATCGTTACGGCTGGGCAATAAAACAATTACAATATCTATCGTCACCGACACGTGATCAATACGTCTGATAGAAATAAACTAACTCACTCTTTGGTTACCTAGCAACAACCTTAGCACCTTGGCAGCAGCAGTTTCAGGTTTCGCTGCTGTGCCTCATAATAATAATGAAAAACAACAGTGTGGAGTAAAAACTGAAGAAGAGTTTAGGCCACATCAGCAGCTTGGCAGTAACTTGGATGTTTAAGATAAAAAAGCGAGTCAAATCATAACCACTATCCACTAACTTTACATTAATCTTACAAGTTTGGAAAACAAACTACAAGGACGTTTAAAATAAAAAAAGAAAAGTGTAATAAACATTAATTGTGTAGCCATAAGGCCAACATTTCAATATTTAGCTTTAATAGTGGCTGGTATTTCTGAAGTGTGACAGAGCTGTGGCTCCAAACCCTACCCCAAACCCAAACCCTTCTGCTGCGTTTAACCAAAACCTCATTAAAGTCTGAGGAAAAGTTCCCTCCTTTCTACAGCTCTTGGGTCGTTTCCCTGCAAAACACACAAACTTAGCAAAGGCTCAAACACAAATACCGTTTCCTCCATCATCCACACACATAAAGACACTTCAGTATCCAAGTGACAGAACTGAACAGCAACACCTGGACAGAAGAGACGGGAGACGAGGCAGACCAACAGATGAAGAGATGGAGCGAATGAGTCGAGGAGAGAAGGAAGCAGAACCATGGAACGATGTGAAGATGTTACTGTGAGTGATAGATGTGATCATAACAGGGAGGAGAAGAGGGACAGGTGAAGGCATGGAGAGGAAACCAAAGAAAAGAGGCATGGAGGGAAGCGGAGGAAAGAGATCCATCTTTCATTCTGCATCCTTATGACAGTTTTCAGAGACGGCTGGAGAGAGAGAAAACAAGGAGAGAGAGGGAGGGAAGGAGAGATAGAAAGCGCCTCAGCAGATTACCTGTCAGCGGCTGTGATTAATGTAGAGACCAGAATACTGTTGGGTGTGTGTGTGTGTGTGTGTGTGTTTGAAAGCTTTGTGACACAGGCCAACAGCGTTAGAGTGCCCCCGGAAATTGGAAGTGACTGCCATAACTTCCTGCCTGTCTGTCCACTTCCTCCACGCTCGTCTGTTTACGTGTCGGCTCTCTTCATTTGTCTGTCTGCTGTTTTCTTCCATTCTCTGGTTATGCTGCACTTTTTCTGCTTCTTCTTACTTCTATAAAGTGGATGAGGAATCCACAAGTGTGTGTTTGAAACATTGTGTATTTGTGTAAGTGAGACATTAACAGGGGAGCAACAAATATTGTAGAAATAAAAGGCCAAGAAAACATTTAATAAAGATTTGTAGAAGAGGTTTTACTGATTACCAGGTCTCTCAAAGTTTTGATTTAACAAAACTGTTCTGTGAAATATGTTTGGACTTTAAAGATTTAAGGTTATCAGAAATGTTTTAACAAAATGCTTTGAGCTTGAGTTCACTGCATGCATATTGCACTGAAATTTTTTAATTTATATACAAGTTATTTCCCAACTGCTTGGTCAGGTCTTCTGACATGGGAAAACAACATTCAGTTATTTTAGATGCTTAAAGAAAAAGAATCTGCACACTGTGCCCCAATTTGACAACAGTCTGAACTTTCAACAATTCGACTTTGCAGCACGTTTGCCTTTTATTTTATATAATAGATGCAACTGCTGCTTCACAGCCAAATGCAAAGGAAAATGGGTCAGTGTGGAAAAAATACCAAAAAAGGAAAAATAGGTCAGAGAGAAGAACACAAAAACATTTGATAAGTGAATGAGAATTTTGAAAATAGGCGCCTCTGACAGTATTTTGCCTCCATTATTTACGAATAATGGCTGGTGTTGACATTTATTTTGTGTAGTCTCCTGCTGAGATCTACACTTTGCATTAATACAAGTTTCAATTATTTCAAATGAATTTTGAAACTCAGTTCAAACTTCATGTCAGATCCCACCAGAGGGTTTATTATTCAAGCTTGAGTAACGACTTGGCCTTTTTGGTGACTTTTCTGAAATATTGTGGTGGATAAAATAAAGTAATGAATTTAAATTTACATTTTTGCTTTTATATTTTTAAAGTATCAAATATTGGTTAAAATATTTCAACATCTAAAAGTCCAGAACCTTTGTATTCACGTGTTTCTGGTACGGCAGTAAATCTGACGCACAAGCGACAGGATGCTTCTCTGGGCTAGTGATTTATTTTTGCTTCAAAATCGATCTGATGGTTGCTGGAAAAGCCTTTAGTGTTCAAGTTGAGCTAACAGGAGTTAGCACATCAGCGAAGTCGGTCAAGCCTAAAATAGCATCTGATTGCTAAACATGCTGCAGCAACACAGACGCTAACGCTAAGGTCAAAGTTCATAGTTCACCTTTCTAAAGATATTTTTTCAAATTAGTTTCATGAAAGATCAGGGGCTGCAGAAACAGGAAAGCTGAATGGGCAGATTAGCACTTTGTTTTATTTAGGTCATCTCAGCGCGTTCTGTTACCTGCAGTGCACCGCGATGGGTCCGGCGTCCGGAGGGTTGAGGAACTTGACCTGCCGTATGAAGCCCAGCAGTCCCGTGGCGTAACAGGGAACGCCGTGATCCGGCCAGCTGGTGAAGTGAAACTGGCGAAGTTCACGGATCTCATGGTGGCCCTTCTGAAAAACATGCCGACACGCCGTGCAGTGAAAACTCAGGAAAGGATTCCACCTGCTTGTGAAGAGTGGTGGCCATTTTCTCTCCTGATTATGATAAATGCAGGTATGTCACAAAGCTTTTTTCCTCTTTTGGGGCAAACTGACAAGAAGACACATCACGGTTCAGGACCCTAATTTACAGCAGGGATTTTCAGCAAAACAAGGGCCTTGATGTGTCTGGTTTCACATGGAAAATAAATCAATCTTGTGGATGTCAAGACGGCGCTCGGGGCCACTTCTGGGACTGAGAGGCAGGAAGACTTATCGTGGCTCATTTGCTTAATTTACAGGGGAGATTTGGGGAAACTGAAGGCCACTCAAGCTCCATAAAAAAGATTAATTGATTTCAAATCTCATGATGGTTCTTTAGGGAGAAACTTACAGAAAGAAATGCCATCGTCCAGTTCAGCTTCCCCGTTTGCTACCAAGGAGACTAGCATCCTCCTAAGTCCTCTGGGTGGAGCGTACATTAATGTAAAAGTACAAATCTAAATATAGCTTAGTCAAGAGGGAAAAACAGCAACTGTGAGGCAAATTTGAAAGCATGTTACCTCCAGTGGAGGCATTGTTTTGCATAAATACTGGAAATAAAATGAAAATTCTCCGTGATGACGGTAAACTCTAAACTACATTTCTGGAGACAAAATAGCTGATTGATTGAAATAATGATGATAAATACTTTTTACTGTATTACTGTTATAAATAAAAAATGGGGACCGTGATGAGCACGACAAACATTCCCCAAAATCTGATCATTTCTTTTAACTGCTGGCGTCTAAAGGCCAACATGTTCTCCCTCTGTCTGTCTGAGTTGGTCCAAAACGCTGCAGTGAGACTAAAGGCACAAACGTTTCCCTACGCCTCCATATCGCCATTGATTCTCTGTGAATTTCAAAATTCAACATTTTATTCTTTAATGTGGCAATACCAGCTTGAAAGTCTGAAAAACTTCAAATTATCAGGAAAAAACAAAGAAAGTCAGATTGTTGAAACGAAATGACAGGGAAAAGGTGCTGTTTTTATTTTGATCAGAACGGAGGTCAAAGGCTGCAGCCACAGAAGATACCTGAGGCCCCAGGAGAGAGTCGGCGAGCAGGTGTGAAGTGGAAGATTGTCTGAATACAAAACTCCTGACAGTCTTCCAGAAAATGACCTAATGGGTCATTGCTGCTAAACATGGTGGTCGTAGAATCTGTTCCATTAAGGAACTAATGTCAATTAGTTATTGACTCAGTTTTTCCCTTTTTGCTTCTTCATTAATAAATGAGACATAATCTGATGTGTTTTGTACACTTAAAAAACAAAATAGAACCCAGAAAAGACTAAATTGCTTTTATGAAAGTGTCAGAAGGTGTACTTTCTTTTTACTATGATATGTCAGCCTAAATCTCTGTTTCTATTTTGAACATAGATCTGCGACACACTTTGGGATTTTGTTTCCTTTTCCTCCGGTTCCCCTACAACACGGTGTGCTCTTTCTTTAATTATTCAGAACAATCGATTTCCTTTTATGCTTCTAAACTGAGAGCGGTTTAAAACGGAGAGTCATGATCTCCCAAGTTCAGTTTACGCTCCAAGAATAGAAACTGAAATGAAACTGTTGTTATTGCATCCCTCATCCTGGGTCAAGGTGGAGTTTTTAGCATAATGATGGCTTGAGGAGAAACAATGGCACAGTGAAAAGAGAAGGAATAAAAGTAAAAAAAAAAACGAGTGTAAGAAAGTGTAAAGTTCAAGGAATAAATGATTAGATTGAGAGACAGGAAGAAGAGGAGAGATGGTAAAGGGAGGGAAACAGAGACTACAAAGGAAACGAAGGAAAGAAAAGAAAAGACGGAAGTAAAAAACAGAGTAATGAGCGAAGAGGGAGAGGAAGGACAAAAGGCAGCGTAAAACCCAGAAAAACCACAAGGTAATGTGATTAGTCGACTTTGCATCGATCGACTCTTCTCTATGATGTTGAAATTACTTCTCTAAATCAATAGGCGACATAAAAACATGGCCTCAGATTCACGATACTTGGGTTGAAAAAATAAAACAAAAACATTAAAATGTTCGAAGGAAAATGAGAATCCAGAATTGCCCCTCGCAGTGAAAAATGAGAATAATTCCTTCAAACATCTGCAGTTATTTTAACAGTTCCTGTCAGCACATGATATAATGAAATGAATCCATAATTTTATGAGATTCTATACAACTTTTCAACACATTTTCACTTTTTGCATGAATATTTTCATCCTCTGTCCTGCTCCAACCAGACGAAGCTCTGACTACCTGGTGAGAGCCACTGGCCCTTTACTGTGTCCTGAATCTGGATATTTTGGGACGACTGGATGAGAAAGTTGCAACAATCATTAGATTTTTACTTACAGGTTCACTCTGACATCGAGGAGATTGTTCTGTGAGGACAATAACCAACTACGTTTTATTACGTTTTCCCTGTCATTTCTCTGCAAGTTGATTGAAATAGGAAAACAATTGTTCAAAAAACACAGAGGGAGAGAGAAAGCATCAGAACAGATGTCATGATGGAAAAGAACAGATTTGTTGTTTATTTTCTTGTACTGAAACACTGGAAGCTTCATCATTTTTCTAATACTAGAAAAGAAAAATGCGTAAGCATTCAAAAATAATGACCTTGGAAAACTAAGTAAGTGTTTTATTTCTGGGAGAAACATGAATTGCTCTGTGCTTCATGAAAAGCATAATGTTCTCCAGTCCTTCGTTCCATCAGACCTTCCTGGTTGTAACAATGCCGACTGCAGCTGCACCTCACATCAATCTGCTCTGAGCTTTTCTGATCCGGAACATATTTAAGAACCATTTATGGTCCAACTGGCGTCTGATTACAGGTCAGATTAGACAAACTAAAACCACTGCGTTGCATAAACTCCTGTCAGTTTTCATCAGTGCTGTTTTTAGATTTTTTCTTTAGATTTCATGGAGCATTTCTTTACCATTTATTAATAACACGATTTATTTCATTTTGAGTGAATCGGCTCTACATATACAGATTTTTCAAAGACATGAATAATTTCTGCAGATGTTACTCTAAAATGTCACTGTAATCACTCCAGAGTTCATTAGCCATTTTCTCTCATTAATAAAGAAACAAAGCACGTCTGCTTTGTCACAACATGACTCAGTTCTGTTATTTGATGTGAGTCTTTATTGCAGTTGTGCCTTGGACCTTAACTGTAACTTAAAATGGTAACTTCTGTTGAGAATAAATACATTTTTCTTCTATCTCTTTTAGCTGGTTGCTAAGCTAAACCTAAAGGAAATTACATGTTAGGAAATGCAAATGAGAGCTGCGCTCAGAGGAAGTGACCCACTGGGGAACGCCTCTTTGGGGCGTAGCTTAGATAAACGAGATCAAATTGTTCTTTGGTGCCTTTTTGTCTCCCAAAGGTGGCTTGAAATGGACCAGCTGTATTTTGGTATTAATACATGGAATTAATGAATTTAACTCACTGACTCTTTAAAGTCGCACATCGAGAACTCAGCATGGAGAACGGATGAGCCTCCATCATGACAATACGATACTTTAATCTGTTTGAATTCTGCACTTAAAGTTACCCAAAGCATGAAAAAACTAACTGCTATAATTAATAATACGTGGCTAATAATTACCAAAAACTATCAAACCCGATAAAAACTAATTAAAACTAGTTAGACAAACAAAAAGTCTAAACTAAACTAATGAAAAACCCTAAACTACTATAATCCTGCTACACTCCCAAATCTTTGGCTTCACCAAAAATATTTGATTTCCACACTTCAAAGTGTTGTTTACTAGATAAATCCAATTTTAATGGATTCTTTGTGATGGTCTACAACAACAAATGCTTCATGAAAGAAATTGTCTCCAGCTACACATGCAAGACTACAAGGTGACATCTGTTTTGCACAGTGAGAAAGAGACGCAGTGAAACTAAAGTTGCAATCTTCTTTTCTGCATGTTTTGTGAAAATTCCACTTTCACAGATAAAATGAACTCTTTGAAAATAATGTCTGGCAATCCGTGGAACAGAAATGTTCCTCCCTCACCCACAGCTTTTCTTTACAACTGATCCTGACTCTCAAACACAAGCTACCTTTTGTGATCTTTTTTTCCTGTCCTCCATCTATCCTGCTCTCTCTCTTGCAGATGCATTTGCATATTTTCTCTTTCTTTGAGACCCTGTCGGCCTTCCTTACTCTCTGCTCGGTTAATCTCTTTGGATGTGCCATTAATAAATGTTTTCATTAAGATCCTGTTCTCATTATTCACTGCAAGTGAAGCAATTTAATTGTTGCCTGGAACCTGTTCTCTCTCTCTCTCTCTCTCTCTCTGCCTTTGTCTTCCCGTTGCTTTGTTTTTCACACCCAGGCAGTAACAGGAGCTTCTTCAGAGCGGAGATGGAAAATTCGGAATCTGAGTGTGTGCGTTCGCATGTATTATTGCATGGTGAAATAAATGACAGGCATTTCGAAATCAGCTTTCCTTTTAAACTTACACACACACACTCACACACATGGAGGTGCTTTGGATTAATGGCTTGCTAAATGCGCTGACGGCAAAGGCTTGAGGACTTGTCTTGATAAGCTGCTTTCGTATGAGTGAAAGAAGGAAGGAAATATGGGATGGGGGAAGAAACAGGGTAAAGTGCAGAAAAGCAAAAAATAAATAAATAAATAAAAATGTGACAGAAGTCAAAAAATATGTTTTAAGATGTAGGTATATAAAAATGTGATTTTGAGGCAATTTTGGTCAGAGAAACATGAAGTTGTCCTGCTTTCGATGAAGTTTCCTCAAACAGAAATGTCTAAACTCTCACATGAAATACAGATTTAATCTGGACGCTTCAAAAAACTTTGTCCCTTAATTTAACTGCATACAAAGCAAAAAAAAAAAAGATTATTGCATATAGAAGTGTTTCTGCAGCGTTTCACCAACTGAAATTTAAGACTTTTAAAGACCATTATAAATGAAATGTAAGATCTTTAAGACCAGTATGAATGAAATTTAAGACTTTTAAAGACCATTATAAATGAAATGTAAGATCTTTAAGACCAGTATGAATGAAATTTAAGACTTTCTCAAACCATGAGGAATTAAATTTAAGACTTCTTGAGGCCAAGAAGAATAAAACTTAAGACCTGTGTCATGACTAAAGTACAAAATAAAATTGCACATTATATATTTGTACAAATGGACAACTTGAGAAAGAAATGGTAGATAATCTCACAGGTTATCTATAGTTAACCTGTGAGATTAACTATAGATACTGGAACAGCTTTGTTCAAATAAAATTCCTAAATGGTTACTACTGGCGCTTGACCAGTGTGTTTAAAATCCACTAAACCTCCGACTTCTGAGTTTGCGTCACACCAAATGTTCTTGGATCAGTTCTGGTAGAATCACTGACAACCATTTTCAGGGGAGCTTTAGCCACACCAGAGGATCAAAACTGACATTTCTGGAGTCTGTTTGTGGCTCTTGGCAGAAGCTTTGTGCTTCTCACACTGCATTTGGCTTCCTGCATCTTTATCCCAATAGGGCCGAGCTTTTTTTTGCACAGAATCCATGTAGCATCAAGGCGAACGTCATCCAGCCAACTGGTGAGAAATCTGCACTTACCCACGGTAGACACATAAAAGTTAGCTAGCTAATAAGGCTATATAGGCAGAATGCTACCAGAAGCCTCAACTGTCTGTCTTTGGCCACAGAAAAAAAACCTACATAAAACGCATTACAAGGTTCTGCCACGACAAAATTCAACACCTGTAATTAAGGAATTTATGTAAAAATTAAAATTTTAAGACATTTTGAAGCCTTAATTTTTGATACGTAAAGACTTTCAAGATGCGCAGAAACCCTGTATATAAAAAACAGGCTCCAAAAAAGAAACAGAGGAAATTCAGGATTTAAAAAAAATATATAGCGTAGAAAAAAACTTCCTTTCCTTGTTTTGTCCTTCAATCTGAGCATATTACCATCAAATCTTCATATTATGTAAACAGAGACATCAACTGTCTCTACAGTGACAGGAAGGAGCAACTTCACAATCCCAGTCTGGTTGGTGAAATCTGCCAGATGAAGGAAGTCCTGTTTACCTTTTGGACAGTGAATGTCCGGATGACGTATTCAGCCAGAGGCTCGGTTTCTATCAGGGTCACCTTGATGTCTCCATAAACCTCCGTCTCATCAGGCCAGTAACGAACACATTTCACCTGAAAAAGCACCATTTACACAGATTTAAGCAGAGTGCCTGGTGATAATCACCAACCTGAAAGTCCAGCTGCAAGACGGAAAATAAAAGTTTCCAGGTCATAATTTCAGGACACAATCATTTTTATAGCGCTGAACTCACCCTTCCCACCTCCACCAGATTCGTAACCATGACGATAGAGGCCGAGTTTTCCTGCCAAACCATCCTCCAGAAATCCCTCACCGTTTCCTGCATGGGTCCTGACAGACGAAACACACAAAATCAGTGCTGGTGTGTGTGTGTGTGTGTGTGTGTGTGTGTGTGTGCGCGCAGATGGGTGCAAACTCATGTAAGAAAGGAAAATATCAGCAGTGATAATGCAGACCGTTACAAACACACAAGCACAACACAACTGCAGATGCACGCACACACACACACACACACACACACACACACACACCATCAATCCCAGATAGCAGTTTTGGGGGGCTGAGGTAATGGGGTCTTAAATTTGTCAGGGGGATTTTATACAGCAGTTTAGATTTAGGAGGCTGCCGTAACAGCCTTCCACTCCGAAGTGACGCCATGCTGGTGGCGGCAACACACACTCATACACACACACACGAACCACACTCAGCTTGTCATATGCTTACTGCACCAGTTTAATTACCTTGTGTTGCGATGTAATGTCTGGGTCTGTGATAGCCCTGTGAGTCAGAGGGAACAAGGCATTAAAAAGATTCCTTACATTTTTGCTTAATGCATTTTTCTTTTTTTCTAATTTCATTTAGTTTCAGGGTTTTATGCATCAGAATACAGTAAAACTGATAACAGCTGTGAAGCGCAGTGGTGGAGGGCTGATGGTTTGGCTTGAATAAGCCATGATCCCACTTCATATAAAGCTTCTACAGGTCAATGTGAGCCAATCAAACAGGAAGAAATTAAAACATTGCGTTGCTCAAAGTCCAGACTGATTAAAATGTCGGTGTGGGAACTTAAAAGATCAACAAACCAAACATCTCTGCAAGCTTTAGTGAAGTGGAATAATGTGAAAAACCTTGGGAAAAATTCCTACAATATAACACAATATCTGAATTTCCAATAAAAGTATGCAAAACCTTTTCAATGTCGAGCTCATGTTGAAAAACAATTTCACAATTGTTGTGTTTCAATTTCATAAGAAATGCCATTAAAATCAATAAGTTTGTTCACACAATAAGTCATTAAAAATCAAAGTGGCGATAGATGTAAACATTTACATGGGATATATTCATGTTTCAGCCATGGAACCAGCACTGTCAGCCGTGAGAAGATTTCTTATTCAGGCATCAGAGACCCTTATACTGGGGAGTCTCTAAGCACGCAGCGTTTTAGGGAAACAACCGTCAGCCGTTTTACAGAAGATCTGTGGATTCAACACTTGAACTCTGTGATGCTGAGGCTTCCTGCAGAACCTGCTGCAGTTACTCCATGGATGCAAAGTGTTGGATGCACACGTCTGAAAAACCACCTCATCCACACAAAAACTTATCAAAAAATTAGACTTTTTTCAAAATTGCCATTTATCCATCAAGTAAATTTATTTTCTGAATTCCAATTTGCACAAAATGTGGTCAACACAAACGCAGCTACAGTTACAGGAGACGGTTTCAGAAGCTGCTGAATCATTGCTTGAGACTATTTTTGAATCTTGGTTGTTTTATTAATATTTTTATAATTAAAGCATAAAAGTCTCTGTAGTGCATTTTTGTGGTTTACCTTTTTCTTTGGGGTGTTCTTCCTTTTTGTCTTCTCAATGTATTCAAGTGTAATAAAATTTGTCTCTGAGCACAATCAGTGTTTCTTCTTCCTTTCAATCTTTCATTAAATACTTTTTAAATATTGATATCTCGTTTGATTTTGAAATTATTTTCTTTTGGTGAAACACTTATGAATTCAATAGTCTGACTTCAGATATCAAAGAAGCTCAAATTTACCATTTTATTTTCATTTCCTTCACCACCTGTTTGTGTGTTTCCTTTTTTTCCAGCTCTATTTTTCCTGTTTTGTCCTCCAACTCTCCGCTTCTCTCTGAATAAACCAAGGTTGTCATTTAAATAATCAATGGATTATAAAAATGGATCCTTTTTTTCTGTCAGTAACTTTCTAGACACCATTTATTCCATTGATGTTTTCCACTACTCCTAGTTAGACAGATAACTGGGCTGAGATTAATACTTTAATACGTTTTTGTTGCTATTAAAATCCTCCTTGTGTTTCTGAAATGAGACAGTTTGATGCTCAGATTTTAGTTTCCCACATTCCTCGTTCCTTACATCTTAATAAAAAAGGCATTCATCATTAGAGACTCCAACAAATTCATTAGGGCACTCAATACAATCATGATACAATGAGTAAAATTTGATAAACTGAGGGGAATAATAATCAGCATTGAGGAGGGAATAGAAATAAAGAAAAATTACATGAATTTCCAGATTCCAATGTGACTAAGTTAATTAATCTTTTAGTGGATCATCAAATGCTACGATGAGGGTTTAGGAAGTGGTCAGAGTTTGTATTTTAAGTCTTTGCTGCAGGTCTAGACCTGAATCTAAGTGCAAGTCTTTGTTGGTGCGAGCAGATCTTTAGATTATTACAATATAAGATATTAAAACAAAAACCTTGCTGAGGTCGACTGGTTAAAGTCTTCCCTCCGCCTACATTCCCCAGAATGCTGTGCAATTCTGAATCGAAGTTCAGAGGAATCGTATTGAATGTATTATGTACTGATATTGTGTTTATTGTAATCGGTGTGTGTGTGTGTGTGTGTGTGTGTGTTAACTCACATCAATATAGTTGGCGTTGATGTAGTCGGAGTGGGGGTCTCCATCCAGCAGCTGCAGTCGGACTCTGGTGTGATCGTCTGTGGGATCAGATAGCACAAAAATACAACAAGCCTAAAGTTACTTTTACCCACAGATCGGAGAAGCTAACTGTGCAGGTGGGGATCTGACTACCAGGGGCAAAATCATGACATCACACACACAATCAGTCCTCTTCAAGAAGATGTATGCACTGGAGACAATTTCTATAAAAGGTGTCAAAACAATTTAAAATAAATTGAAAAACACAGCAACAGGATCTGACATCAAAATGAAAAAACTGGTGACAGAGCAGGAATCTGCATGGCTTGGTTCAGTATGGTTTCATCTCATTCAGTCCCACAGCAGTTTCTCTCTGATGAACTCAACAGATTTGTTAGAAGCAACATAAAAAAACTCCCCGATGCAATTCAAAACCAACATTATTTGGATGTGTCAGAAATGCTGTTTCCATTACAAGCCGCTGCTCTCAGCAAACACTTTTATTTGCTGCCAAATAACCATCAAGAGAAAGATTGTTTTACAAGAAGCGGCTCTTTTAATGCTGGAAAACACTTTTCCCAATCTACCATAAACGTATTCAGAGATTTACTTCATTAAGTCAGTAGCAGTTTATAAAACACATTCCAAGGTCATTGAAATTTAAAAGAGAACAATTCTCTCTCTCAATAAAATGTAGATGACACTTCCATGATGCTTTTAGATGCATCATGGAATGCAACATGATGGGCGTGAGCATAAACAGACCAGTTTTATATTGCAAAATTTACATTTCATGTCACAACAACAATCTTCAACATGTTTTATAGAGATTTTAGAATTAGAACTTCTTTGTCATTATGCAAGAAAGTCCAACAAACATTGTAACAAAAAATAGAACCTTATTTTCCAAACAGCAGTAAAAACAAACATGGTTTTCATAGTTAAAAACGCATCTGACAAGTGCATCTTTTTACCACCATTTACTCTAATTATCTTTAAATAAAATCCAGTGCAACCAAGAAAAACTAGTTTGAGTCGATCTGCATTTTTAATAGAGAACATTAGTAAACAAACAACATGGAGGCCAAAGAGAAGGCAGCTCAGTGATAAACCCCTGCAGAGGTTTAAAGCAGTCAGATGGTGTAACCTGTTCAATTCATCTGAAGATGCAAGCAGTGGCGACCAGATTCAGTTGATCTGCTTGGATCAGTGGTGGCAGCATCATGGTGTGGAGTTGTTCTCTTCAGCTGACAGGGAACCATAGCTGATCACTGGATGGATGCAAAATGGACCCAACCAGCTTAGACCAGAGAATATTCATGAGCACAAAGGCTCATTTAAAATCAAAAGTGTTGTGACTTTTCAGACCATCGTATGTAATTCAACCTGATGAACCCCTGAAATAAATGCACTTTTCAATAATATTTTAATTCTTTGTATATGATAATGTTAACCAACTGTTCCACTCTGACCAAAAAAATGAAACACCAACTTCACCTTCACACTCAAACTTCATCCTCATTACATGTCACAAGAAATAAATCAGCTTCTTCTTTTTTTTCTTTTTCCACTTCTGAAAGTCATTATTTTGTCCTGGGCTCAGTAATAGCCATCTATAATATTCGGATGCACATGAGAGTGATTACATATAATGGGAGGCAGTCATTTGGCTTAGTCGTGTCATAGCAACAGGAGGTAATTGCAGATGAGGTGGGCATAATTCAGACTGATTATCTCTAGTTTGTTCCCCGTCACCTACAGTCTTTGGCTGCTTGCTTAACACAGATTTTTTTTTACCGCCCCCACTGTGAGGTAATATGATAATGTGAAAATAACAAGAAGAGGAGAACTGAAATAAAGCATAGAGAAGAAACTGGTAAGTATAAATTACTGACAGTCATCAAGTTAACAGGCTGAAAAAAGAGGAGCATTGCTTTACTAATGCAAAGGTGGTTGTTTGAAATGTAGCTTAAAAAATATCCATTTTGTCTCCGTTTGTCCCCCTTTGGTGCAGAATCCTACTGAACACTTGAACCTTGCTTTATGTAGCTGAGTCCACAAAATTGAGCCTGTGCATAATAAATTTATGAAAACAGAATCACGTGTTATCAAATTCAAAGCTTAGCTTTTCAGAACTCTGAAAATCTCTCCGTCAGCAGCAGCTTTTAGAGAATCTATTGTTCAGCCGATGACTCAGACCTTCAACTGAGACCATTTCCTCTTTGCTCGCTGCGGCAACATGGGCGCAATTATTTTGTCAAGTAGGCGTTGAGATTTTGGGAGTTTGAGTGAACATCTTGGAATAGATGTGACTTTTCTATTCACGGCAGCCTCAGAGTAAAGTCTGCAGTGGATTGAAATGCTTAGATGTAATTCAGAAATTGAAGGGATGCTTTTTCTTTTTTTAACTGAGGAGTTTTAGTTAGAAGTCACCAAAACAAACATGGAGTCGTGTGTGTGTGTGTGTGTGTGTGTGTGTGTGAAAGGGTTCGTCGGTTCAGACCTGGGATAACTTCCAGGTCTGTTGGGGCTTCATGTTCTCATTACGCAAAGAAGTTCGAATGTTACAACAAAACCTTCAGCACTCTGGATCAGTGCAACTAACCTACAAGTAACTTTTCAGCAGGATGCAGCAGCTTGTGCCTCTTGAATACTGATACTTATAACAAGGCATTTTCCCCATGTTATATGTGAAATAATCTGCCAGTGGAACTAGAACGTTTTTACTTGTAAGTTAGTTTTGTCTTTTTTTCAAGAGTATCAAGATGTTTGCACTGGAAACTAGACCAAAATACTTGGAAAGATTTTGTGTTTTTGCAGTTTATAACTCATTTGGAACATTGTGCAGAAAAAACCGTCTTTAATTATCGTCTCGGATCGCCTTGAGAATTATCTGTCTTGTGTTTTTCTAATGAGAGAAATCTTGCTGCTCAGGCTGAGTGGCCACCGGGACAGCAGCATGAATCCACTCTACTGGTACTAGATACTGTCATCAGCTATCAGCTCACTCACACTTTAAACTCTTCTTTCTACACTGCATGTACAAACAAACAGCAGGAGGTCGTCTGCCAGCCGTCTGCTCACTCTCTCCTTCTCCTGACTTCTACGCTTCCGCTTCTCTCCTCTTTTCCCGAGCCGATCCTGTCCACACGTCTCTCCTCTTCCTCTGTGCTTTCCCTCTGCTGTATCTCTTCCTCCCTTCCCTCTGTCTTGCCCCATACTGTCTTGCTCCTTCAGGCAGCAGTAATTACACCGACCTCGTGTCAGAGGCTGTCATAACAGGAGAGCAACAGATATAAGGCTGGAAGGAAGGAGGGGCCCTTTCTGCTGCTCTCTGCCCAGGAAGGGGAGCTTCTAATTGGGCTGAAATGGCAGGAGGTACTGGCTCGCAAACACTGCAGATCTGGACACAGGCCACAGGTTTGAAGAGGCTGACAGTGGGTTGGATCTTTCTGTAGTCTGTGTACAGTATATCAGCAGATAAAAACGCCTCTTGAGACAAAGAGAAATGATTTTCTTTTCCCTAATTAGTAAATATTTGTGCATATACAAAGTATACAAAAAAATTTTACTTGACATATAATGAAACAATAAACATATTGCTATGTTTGAGAGGAAATACTTAGTTGTATGAAGTGCAAAGTAAAACAAAAACACTTTGATGTTTCACTAAGTCTTCCTGGCTCAAGCCTTGAGCCGGTTCTGGTTCTGCCGGAGGTTTGTTCCTGTTAACGGGGAGTTTTTCCTCTCCACTGTCGCTACATGCGCTCTCTGCTTTGTGTCTGACTGCTGTAAAGTCAACGACACAACACAAGCGACTGTCTGCTGCCGCTACATTCTCGCCCAGCAACATCAAGCCACTGACCTCCAGGATTCAACTCGAAGCAATCGGCTGAGAAATGGCTGCACATAAACTGGACTGAATTCTCCAAAAGAGGGTGGCACAGACAGGCCACCAAAGAAAAGGTTTACCATTTGGTTCACACTGAAAAAGACAAGGTCACGATCATCTTTAATTAATATGTTCACAACAATCATGACTGAATGTAAAGCTTTCGCTTGTACAGTTTAAGTGGAGCGAGATTTTTAAAGCAGAGGTCTGTGGTTCAGTGTTCAGTCTGTTTATCTGTCGCCAGGAACTGATCCTGCACCCAGAGAGCAGGCTGCCCCACGCTGGCATCTGTGGCACTGGACTGGAGTAACAACAAAGTCATCAGAAGCTGAGGTGTCCAAGGGCAAAGAGTCACCAACCCATTACTCATTAATGAGCTCCACTCCTTGGCAGAGTCTCCCTCTCTTTATAACCTTGCATCTCCTCTCTTTCCTCTTTTGGCCCCTCGACTCTCTGCTTTTCATTTGCCTCCATCTTCTTTGAAATTCTTGTCGTTACCCTTGCAGCCGCTGTAAGAAAGTTTTTGTAGTGGAGAACTTGTTAACTTGAGGGTCCCGAAAAGGCCAAATAAAATTGTTTCTTTTTTTATATCTTGGACGGACTCGGAGTCACTGGAATGCAGCAGAAAGCTGCAATTTGGAGACATCAGATCACATTTTAGCCGAGTGAGAGCCTGCAGACCGCTGCTGAACACAAATGAGAGGGAGTAACCAGAGTCTAATGACTGTTTGGTGTACACAGCAAGAAGGACAGGGTTGTTTGCTACATCAGAGGTCATACAGCTTTATATAGCACAACACAAAGCAGAAATACAGATGAAATTATATATTTACACAAACTGTATGAAAGACAAAATCGTTTTCTCACATCAAATCAAACCACTTTTTACAGTTAAATTATCTCCACTTTGTGAATGCCAGAATCATCACAGAGGACATTTTGTAATTTTACATATAAATATAATATATAATACTGATGATATTATGGTTCTATAAATGTCTTCTATTAACTCACATTACTTGAGATTTTTGAGGCAAAATTTCAAACATTGCTTCCTAGTTTGATATCACAAAAAAATAAATTTTATATATATATATATATATATATATATATATATATATATATATATATATATAGAGAGAGAGAGAGAGAGAGGGAGAGAGGGAG